TAATAAAATGGTATAGTTTATATTATAAAATGTAAAACGTCCACAACCACTGATAGTATGTAGTACCTAGAATACATAACATTAAACATACGAAATACGAATACACAATAAGAATATCTGATACGATCAATTATCGCAATAAATTAGTATAAATTAGATTTTATCACAGATATAGATAATAAATCACTTTAAAAATATTAGTAATGTTAAACTTTTCAAGGATTTGGGGCACACGTTAAACTTCTCTGATTTTATTATTTTTAACACATATATTAGAACCAGAACCCCCAGTCACTAAATTTAAAAATTTAAAAATAACGACCACCCACACATTCAATTGAACATCCTACTATCAAGTAAATAAAAAAAATAAATGTTACCATAATTATTATAAGTTCATGGGAATACGACAAATGAGGCAGAAAGGAGTTTCTGGGAGTGTTCCCATGGAAACTACCAAAATTATCAAAATTCACCAAATGTACAAAATTTACGGCAAATTTACGTAAATTGTTCTCGGTAAATTACCAAAAAAAAATTTACTTGAATTTTACATCTCTAACATAGAGTGACCCTGCCGGGTCGTTGGACGCCTACGTTTATTAATACGCATATTCATTCAACGAACACACATTACATTTCAATATCATAATATTTATTTAATTCAGTTATTTATTGTGTCTAGATTGCGATGGTAAGCAATTTTATACTTGAATATAATACATTTATATTATAATTTATGTATAGAAAATAACCATTATATATAGCAGAACTTGGGCTACCTTTAATATTTAAATATTTATTATGCAACAAACTTATATTGATTTTACAATGCGAATAATATGTGAGTATTATTTCTTTTATATTTTTTTTCCGGCCTTCAGAAGTACATTTAGTATGTAGTAGAATAAAATTAACGAAGAAGCAAGGGGCCACGTTGGGCGCCATTGGTAGTAGAATAAAATAAACGAAGTGGAGGGAAGTCGGGGAAATATGCAGTGGCGGCAAACTATAAAGGGTGCGAATGATTGGAGTGTTGCGCTTATCGTAAATTTTATCTCACTACAGAATATTTTTATTTGAATGCCGAAATAATAATTTGTTCTTAATTATATAGTATATGTGTTTTCACTTACCTTGTATTATCGTGAATAAAAGTGCGTAGACTCTCGTTGGAATATTGATTGGAGTACCGTCTCTAATTGGTGTGAGTCGATGCACGTTATTTATACTTTACGATTTACACTACAATATCCTATTGCAATTAAGTATACATTTCTACATTACACACTGTTGGTACTTTACGATTGTGATAGAATGGAGTTTGTAAGGATATCTTATGATGGGAGATGATGATATTATGAAGATTGTTTTATATTTTTATAACATGCATTTCAACTACCTATATATTTGAGGTTTTAGTCGCTTAAGAGGAAGGTACTTACAGCACAGCGCATAAGTCTGCCTGGTTCCTTGCTCGAGACGTAAACTGCAAATATATTTTGGCAACCCAATGTCTAGTAGAGACAATGAATTGACAAACGTAATTGAGATGAAATTTATGTAGATACTTTACGAGTTAGAATGCATTTCATGTATGGTACAATTGATTTAAATCTAATATTCTTAGGGATATAGAACTTGGACACGAGTATGTGGATGTCTTCCCTATATGACTTAACATTACTGAAGGATTGTTAGGATTATAAAAATTGAAATAACAATGTTGTTATGGTAGAATAGCAAAGTGAATATACCAACAGTGAGCTCATACCTGGTTTCAAAACAAACGCAATAGTAAGTTAACTTTGTAGAGAGAGATTAATTTTGTGTCAAAAAAGAAACTGGTTGATGTTGCATAGATTATCCGCGGCCGCCATCAGCGTGGTCCTCTGTGTCGAATTGACGTGTTCCGTGGAGTGTACTGCTACTGGTGTACCACTGTGAGTACTACTCGCTTTGTTGTTTGTGCGTGGCGTTTATATAAGGAAGCGATTGTCTTATTCAGACTCTATTGTTATTACGTAACGTTACAATAGATTATTCGTCTTTGTTATGTGAATTGCGCATGTGCGCGTATTCATGTCGTGTTTTCGCATAATGTCGTTGGGTTTTTTGCAAATTTTATATGATAAAAGTGTTCCCTACATTGATTGTCATCTTATGATTCTTTTTGCGCATAACATTAGCATTGATTTCAGTTGTTTGACCAAATATCGTATGGTGCGCATGTATGCACATTTTATGTCATTTTTGTACATTGTCGTTACTTTTTTGACTATATTGTTATAAGTAGGGTGTTTTGTATGTTGTGTCGTTGTGTGCTGTTTTATCTAGACACGCGGTAGCGTGTCAAGCCAAGTTCTAGCTAACAGAACTGGCGAGCAGCACCGTGTGTAATATTACACGAACCATTTGGAGCCACTTTTGACCCCCTCATAACTCAAAAACTATTCCACATAAACATGTCAAATTTGGCTCATATATTGAGACTAACGAGATACATATGTGCTCTAAATTTCATAAACATACTTCAAACCGTTATTTAGATATTAACGTCCGAAAATCGTCATTTTTATCACTGACTTACCTATAGATCAAAATTCTAACCCAGTTCCAGATGACCTAGAAAGTTCAAATTTGGCATACAGATAGGTAGTTAGGTAAATACAAAGGAAAAAATCAGAAACTTGAAAATTTTTAATTTAAAATTTTTTAATTTTTAATTTTTAATTTTTCAATTTTAATTTTTTAATCAATTGATTTTATTATAATTTTGCAATTATTTTATCTATTATGTTTAATTTTTCAATTTATTAATGAATTGCCTCTAATTTAATGTAATGTTGACTTAAATAACCTTTCCCGTATCGCCGCTCCAAAAATACGACTAGCCGAATATGTGTCGATATTGTCGACCCGCGCGCAGCAACATACTTTTTTTTCTATCTATGTATTTAATTAATATTATTTTTTTAAATATTACAATTAAAATAATTAAATAATTATTCTTACAAATTATGAATTATCCACCCAACAGTAGAAACTACAGTCAATAAAATTATGATAATTAAAAATATACTCAAAAAGAGTTAAAATAATTGTATATTAATTTTACATATATTTTATACTCTGTATATACAACGGAAAATATTTTATAATAAATATTATTATTAATATTAGTAACTGAATTATATTATATAGTAATAAACTTTATTTATAGAATACGTCATGGCTAGGTTAGGTTAGTTTATAATAATTTACATACAAAAAGTAATGATATCCCACCAAAAACATATATGTAAAATGAGAGCCAAGTTCAATACTATAATAATATATACCTTGGTTGTTGACTTCAACGACAAAAGAAGTGAGATCTAAATGGGTGCCAAGTTAGGATAATATATTGAAGCCTAAGGTCTGACTTGGCTACGAATTATATATTATAGCATTTGCAAGTTCTAAAGCTTTGAGTTCTTATTTTATTCTTCGGAAAATCATCTTCACTCTTCCATTACTGTTTTAGTAGTTACCTACTTATAATAATAATTCGTATATGAAAAGTAGCCAAGTCACACCTTAGGCTTCAATATATTATCCTAACTTGGCACCCATTTAGATCTCACTTCTTTTGTCGTTGAAGTCAACAACCAAGGTATATATTATTATAGTATTGAACTTGGCTCTCATTTTACATATATGTTTTTGGTGGGATTATTCTTTTCGCGCATAGTTTTGGCAGTGATATCTGGTTATTTGACCGAATGTGGTGTGGTGCGCATGTGCGCACGTTTTATGTCGTTTTTGCACATTGTTGTTGATTTTTGGCGATATCAGTATGAGAAGGTTGTTTCGTATACTATGTCTTGTTTTAATGTTGTTTTTGCGCATAGTTTTGATAGTGACATCTGTTTATTTGATCGAATGTCGTACAGTGCGCATACATGTACATTTAAATTATATTTTTGCACTTTGTCGTTAGTGTTTCTGCAATGTTAATATGAGAAATGTAATTCGTATGTTAAATGCTATCGTATTTGTCTTGTTGCGCATAGTCTTGGTATCGACATTTGGTTGTTTCACCAAATGTTGTGTAGTGCGCATATGTGCACATTTAAGTTGTGTTTTGCACACCGGAAGTGTTTCTGTGGTGTAAGTTGTATAAGCTTATTATGTTGATGAATGAAATATTTGGTATTATGATTTCGTAAGTTAGTGCTATATCGAATTTTGATGAGGTGTTATCTTTTGATTTGCGTTATGATATATTGTTGCTATTTTGTTATTTTCCCTTCGTGTAATTTTTAGTAGTGATATTTCGTCGCTTAGGTGCTTGAGTGAGTAACATACTTTGATCATATGTCATTGTGGGTTTTTTGTAATTTTTGTATGGAGTATTTGTTTCAATAGGTTGTGTGTTCATGTGTGTTTAATGTCCTTTTTCATTTGTGTAAAGTTTTAGCGACAGTTTTTGGCATTCAATTAATTTTTGTATTTGTGCGCATGCGTCGGTGTTCGTATAGTATGGAATTTTCGGTTACGTAATGATGTACGTGTGTTGCGTAATGTTTTATTGTCTTGTTGTTTCATTATAACCATATATGGGCATGTTTTTTAGTATATGTACGTCTCGGAAATATTGTTATGTAATCGTTAAGGAATGTTGGTTGCCTAATATTTGGCTGCGACACGATTGAGCATAAAAAACTCTGCAACGTTGCCATTTTCAATTTTGAACTGTATCGTATAAAAACATTTATTTAAATAATTATAATATTTCAAAATATAACATGACAAAAAAATATCATGTTTTCATATTTAATATGTAAATAGTTGTCACAGTATAATTTATAGATCTTTTTGTTGATAATAAAATAATAATAATAGTTATGACTTATGACTTATGACTTATGAAAATAATAAAATCAAAATATTTCTAAAAAGTTGTCACAGTATATAGATCTTTTTGTTAATAATAAAATAATAATAATAGTTATGACTTATGAAAATAATAAAATCAAAACATTTTGATTGTTTAAATTTGATGTTGAAGAAGAATTTAAAAGTTCGGTGCGAATAATTTTAAGTGGCCGTGTGGAAATTGATTCTTCAGCTTTTCTTTTGCAATTTTCTCTTAAAACTTGTGTTTCTATTTTCTCAATAGAATTTTTATCGTGATTATGTTGTCCAGCAGTTTCAATCACTTTACGTTTATCTAAACCCGAGAACATTATTGCCGAACATTTATTATTAGTACACCTCCATCTCAAAAGATTGTCTTTTTTTCGCTCTCCAATTAATTTATACTTGTATAAATTAACTAGGGCCAATTCTTTGCCTCTTTCCGATAAAATAATTGTTATATCCATATTTTAATAAAATAGAAAAACGCACTAAGTATACACGCACTACACACTATACAGGTAATCGAATACTGATATTATTTCTATAATAATTTTGGATTTGTATCTTAATTATCTTATATTTTCCCCCGATGCTAAATGTTTAAAACGTCGTTTTGCTCCGGAACTAATTTATTAATCGATAACATTGTCGATAAAATTGATAAAGTAGATAAAGCTCACGGCTCGCGTCAGATATCATAATAATTGGTGTAATAACACGAGAAAATAATAAATTACAAAATGTTGGCAACGTGAATGTGGCAACATCGCATAAAATAAACTATGCTCAATCGTGTTGCTAAAAAGGTCTATGCTCAATCGTTTTATGCTCAATCGTGCTTTACCGTAATATTTCTTGGTGTTGCGTAATATGTTTTAATTGCGTTTGTGTTTTTACACCCAAGTATGAACCTACCTGATATATTCATTTTACAAGTTTATTTAAATATAAGGTGTATTAAACATATATTACAAGTAGTTATTCAGGGTTGGGGAGATGGTATGGTACCTATTTACTCCATAGACCATAATATGTGTCGTATATGGGACACTGTATCTAATGTGTATTTTATGTGCTAAATAATTAGAACAATTGAATTCAATGATATTATATTATCATTGTGTGTGAAAAACGATTTTGATCGAGGACAGTTTGTCAGCCGGTATTACTAAACATAATTTTACCTAGGTACCTAGGTATATTTTATACGATATATTATTTATATTGCCTGTTAAAATATTAAATTTTGATTTAATTTTCAACCTGTAGATTGTATACAATAAGTAGTATTGTCATACTGTAGATTAGTTATATAGTTATACATGTATAAGGAAAGCGAAAATGCAGAGTTGACATATTTTCAATATTGTATGTACACGGCAGTTAAAAATATTAGCTATAGTATTATTATAATATAGTTCTTATGGCAGTCGAGATATGCGACCCGTTGGCATATTAGCATTCTGTGGACGGTCTCGGCACCTATAAACCAATTTAGACTTCTGATTGGCCCGTTTGAATTTTCGCGCGAATTTCATAATTTTATGTTATCACCCATAATATTATAATAATAATAATAATAATAATAATTGTATAATATATATAATATATTGTAATACACTATTATACAATATTATACAATATTATATATATCATTACAATTTTTTTTTTAATATTCCTGAGTTAGAAAGTAGTTAATTCTATTGATTGCTAGGTTAGTATTACTTAAATCATTTGAATGATTTAGTACTTTTAAATACACATTTAATAATAAGTAACTATAAAATAAAAACATTCAAATAAGTAGGTAGGTATCCAATATTAATTTATGACAATAAATATTGTTTTATATTGAAAAATTTATTTATTTATTTATTTATTGGTTGATTTAACGGGCTTGAGCCCTTTGAACATATGATATAATAAGTTGACAAATACAAGAACGGAAACTTAAATACTATGATTACAAAAAACAAAAAACAAAGTACAAATTTAGAAATATAACAAAAAAATATTAATTACATGAAAAATAATATAAACTTTTAAACATCGTTAATGCATCTTAATATTAATAAAACATTGAACTTAAATTTATTACGGCATGAATCAAAAAAATCTATTGATGGGGATATTTTATTAGCTAATGACAGAGCGCGAGGGAAAAATGAATTGGCACCATAACTTTTTCGATAGTAGGGTATGACAAATGAATCATTAGTCCTGGAGAAAAAAGTGGGAACCTTGATACCTAATAAAGCCAGTAGATGTGGACAATCAATGAAACCATTTAATAGATCATATATAAATAATAAATCAGAGAGTTGTCTTCTTAGATCAATCGAATCCAGACCTATTGAGTGTTGGACGGGTTTAAATAAATTACTAGAGATAGGCATATTAGAGACATATGCTATTCTTTTCAAAAATTTATATTGGACCGCTTCAAGATCATTCAAGTACGTAGACAGGTTTTGTGACCAAATTATGGATCCAAACTCTAGTGAAGATCGTACGAGCGAGCAATATAAAGTTTTCAAACTAGAAGGCTGCTTAAAATGTTGTGTATTCCTATTAATAAAGCCTAGCATTCTATAGGATTTATTTAAAATGTTCTTATGATGGAACTTAAAAGAAAAATCTGATTCAAAATATATTCCTAAGTCTTTAATCTCAGTTACTCTGACTAATTTTGTATTATTAAGTTTGTAGTTAAATATAATTGGGTTTTTGGAACGGGTAAATGAAATAATGTTACACTTGTCAATGTTTAATTCAAGACAGTTATTCACGCTCCAAGTATAAAACTTATTTAGCTGATCTTGTAATATCACAGAGTCTGATATAGATAGAATCGAGCAAAACAATTTAGCATCATCCGCAAAAAGCAATAATTTTATAGAATTATTAAAAACCCGAGGCAAATCATTAATGAAAACTAGAAAAAGTAGTGGACCCAAATTCGAACCTTGAGGAACACCTGATGGTACGTGAAAATCATTAGAGACATGGAATGAAAGTTTAACTGATTGAGAGCGGTTACTTAGATAGGAGGTGATCCATTTTAAAAATAAACCATTAAAACCAAAAGCCTTTAACTTGCATAATACAATGTTATGATTCACCTTATCGAAAGCATTTTTAAAGTCTGTATAAATTGAATCAATTTGACAATTTTGATCATACGATTGTAATAAATGTGATTGATAGGTTAAAAGATTCGTTAGAATGGAATGCTTGTTAGGAAACCATGTTGGGTAGGACTTATGTAACTTACCAATAGGTTAGTCAATTTTTTTGTAATGATTGCCTCGAATAATTTTGGAATAACTGATAATTTAGAAATTGGACGATAATTACGTACATTACTTTTGTCACCAGATTTATGAATTGGCGTAATAAATGATTTTTTCCAAATATCGGGAAAAATCCCAGTACTGAGTGATAAATTAAATAAATAAAATAAAGGTTTAATTAATGCTGATTTACATGCTTTCAAAAATGATGAAGGGATACCATCTGGTCCTATACCAGATCGCATACTTAATGCACTGAGCATATCCTCAATTTCAAACTCCGAGATAAACCAAGTACTCAAATTAATATCATGATTGATTAACAGAGAGTCATCATATAAATTAGTATTTTTAGAATAATCAACGTAAACAGAGGAGAAATAATCGTCAAATAATTTTGTTGTATCATTAATATTACCAGAAACAATATTATCCAGGTAAACAGTAGCAGGGATGTTAGTTTTATTTGATCTCAAGGATTGGATATATTTCCAAAAATACTTCGAGTCGCTATTTATATTTTTTTAAATTTTAAAGATATGGTTTGCATGGACTTGGACAGATAAAGATTTACATTTTTTACGCAGATTAGAAAAAGTTAAATAATCATGTTGAGAATTACTTAATTTAAATTGTTTATGGGCTTGTTTTTTTAATTGAATACGATTTCGAAGGACAGGATCTTTCCACATAAAGTTTTGATTATGATTAGGATTAAAATTAAATTTAGTAACATAAACATCAAAAGTATGGTTAATAATTTCGTAGAATTTATAAGTAGCACCATCCAAACTCATATTTTTAAAATTATAAATAAAATCAAATTCTGATAAAAATGTACACATTTCATCAAAATTACATGAATTAAAATTATACATGATAGGAGTTAATGATTCGACTAGAGTACAAGGGCGCCCGCAGAAATTTTCACCGGGGGGGGCAAAGTTTATATTATACATATATTATACATAGCCATAACATATTATTAGGTATAGTATTTTATAGTTTCATTACAAACTTAGTAAACAAACTGATGACACCATAATATGATTAACAGTAGGTATATTTTCATCAAAATATTATATGAGACATCAAGAGCACTGAAAAAAAAAAATCTTATAAATTATTATATTATACTAGCTGATCCCGTGCACTTCGTTTCCCGTTAAATGTACCAACTCTATATGACTCAAACATTGTTCAATGCGTTATTTAATATTCGGTGTATGATGTTCTAGATTTATCTTAACTTTTCTGTTGCCCGGAATAAAAATTCTGAATTGCAGCAGTACATTATCAGATAGGTAATTTACCTGTGGTAGATCGTGGACCCCGTTGCTGTTTGTACGTTAGTGTATGATTTAACTCAAAAAGTACCAAAGTTATACCAAGTTTGACATTTTTACTTAATTCCACCTACCTATAAATCCTAACCTAACCTAACCGTACTAAAATCCGATGAATAAAAAAAAAAAAATTTAACCCTTTTTAAATTAGCGTATCTTCTTCCCATAGTTCTAATCTACAAACCGTCATTCATTTATATATAAGATATATTTATAAAAAATAATAATACAAATCAACAAACATGCCCGATTAACCAATAGCAACCAATATAATATAATCCACAATAGAGTAAATGAAGACAACGGTATCGAGTTATAATCCCAGACATCAATAAATAGTTTTTGCAGTTTTTCTAATTATTCGGTTGACTTTTTAAAAATTTTCTTTCGTAAAAACCTTCACCTGGCAATTACGAACATCTTAAAAAAAAATGAAGCAAACTCGGCCCAGCCGGTCTCAACTGATGCAATTTCGAAATTTTTGTCTCCATTTTTATATATATATAGATTAACTAATTAGATTAATTAGATTATTGGTCATTAAATAAAAATTGCATGCGCCTAGGCTCCATAGCAAATAATTTTATTGTTTCATCTATAATGTTTGATTTTTGAGCTTGCACATAAGTTTTGTAAACATTCATTAATGCCAAGCCATTCAAGCGGTTCTCAGTTACAGTACTACGAAGCCATGTTTTAAGTCTTTTAAGTGAGCTAATTTAAAGCAAATATAAAACATAATTAATAATTGAAGTAGTAAAAATAAAAATATATTATAAATTGTAATACAAACCTAAAAGACCTTTCAACGCTACATGTAGTAGA